CAGCCAATGGCATTCTGCGTGAACCATTCTACCCACTGTAACTAAAGCAGAACTCAGTCTGAAGACTAAGCTCTCGATATTCAAGAGATTTTTATCCCCATACTTACCTACGGTCATGAATCGTGGACCATCACTGAAAATCTTCGAACCCGGGTACAAGCTGCTGAAATGGGCTTTCTTAGACGAGTCGTTGGCCTTACGCGTCTCGAAATGGTCGGGAATAGTGACATCCGAAAGAGCCTTGGATTACAGCCTTTGCTTCTCCAGATTGAGAAGTCACAGATGCGTCCAGAAAGGAAGGCTAAGCAACTACTGCTTACCAAACCGACCCGCCAAAGACCCCAGTGAGGGCGAAGATAAACTTCAGGCAAGTGTATCGAGTAGCTCTGGTTTAGTCTCTGATTGTCTTCTGCCAAATCTCATATGCTGATCGGAAACATTACAAGCACTGTCTGATGTGTCTGCCTACGCGACCTCAAAGGACATGCGGTTACAGAATTTAATTATTATTGATTGATGAGTCGATATATCCATTCGAGCATAATTATCCTTAGAATTGTACACGTTCGACTATTTATGTACTTGACACTTGCAGAGCATTCCGTCTTGCGAAAATGTACTATATTAAGTAATGCTGGTTTGACATATCCCCTGAATCCTTACATGGCTTGAAAATTAAGAAACAGTCCACGACACTTAGCATTACCTCTTTATAAGTGGTAGTCTCGGTGTATTTACTTTTAAAACTTTATTTAGAAACTTCAACAGCGACGTTAATTCCTTTAATGAGCAACTCCGGAGGGTGTCTTCGTCATAGGGAATGGAATGTATAATTTGTGATTCAAGGGCACTACAGGAGCCGTGAATACCTGTAGCGTACTGTGAAGGCGGGCCGGCTAACGACTCCATGCTAATCAACGTTGACAGAGGTTTTTAAGCCTTCAGACTGGCCTATAGAACAGAAATATAACCTTCGTAGGTTCCTGAAAGGATTACGCAAAATTTTTGCACTGTGCCGTTTCGTCCTATTTACAGAAATAGACGTGGCATGGACAAGAAGATCAGAAGACATGATAAACGTATGATTGATGTACGCTGCCAGAAAATGGAGAAAATAACATCCTTCATGGTTTCAATCTTCAAATCTTGCCAAATAAATCTGTTGAATGTAAAACTTAAGCCCAGGGTATTATGAAACTGCTAACAAACAGCTGGTTTTAAAAGCTGCTGAATTTTATGCATCATGG